CCAACTAGACCTTGCTCTACCAAATGGAAATCGTGTTCGTCTCCCATCGACGCTGCTCTTGGGAAAAGTCATCTTTTTATTCCATCAAAGTGGAGGTCAGAGCCTCCCCAGGAAGTGCGACTCTTACATAAGTCACACAATTGTTTTTCTCACGTCCCCCCCATCCCACCTCTCCCCCCAAACAAAGAAAATGGTTCTTGAGCAACGTGAATGCACTGATGCTCAGAAGTGGCAAAAAAGGAGCGGCCACCAGTCACCAATCTGCACTTTAAACTTGACTTGGAGTGTTTTCCAAGACCATATGGATTTTATGGGGAGAAAGGGTATATGCATGGTGGGTGGAGGGTGAGAGGTGCATGGGGGCAGGGGGGTTAAAATAGGGGACCTTGGGTGTTAATTTTGGAATTAACAGGGTGGAATCCTGTGCAGAACTGTTGGATACCTATTACCATTACCACGGACTGTTATGAGCGGACAGGTTATTGGGTTAGTTTAACCATCCTCCCACCCGCAGCCTACAGATACATGTGTGTACATTTTGCACAGACACTGTTGTCATTTGGACCATGTAACAGATGTCCCCGGGGCTCTCTCTGCATCCTCTTGGGTCCCTTTGTGCCCTTCTCTCCCTCCAGGCAATGACTGCCGGAATTGACAACCCTTCCCCCTGAGGAGCAGCCCTTCCCCTCCCCAGCTCCCTTGCTGAGCCTGGTGGGGCTCAGTTTGCCTCTAGGACTCCCAGAGGGCGAGCATCAAAGACACCCTCGAGGCCTCTGCTACTCCCCCTCATCTGACCGACTCTCCTCCTGCTCCATGTCCCCACTCCCCTGCTGGCTTTCCCAGGCACCTCCCTGGGAAAATCAACAAAGCCCCCTCCGGGTCTGATTTGGAGGGACCCACATGAATGCAGGAAGCATGTCGGGTCCCAGAGCTCCTGGTTATGGAGGCCAGAGGCTGAGCTTAGCTGGCACCTCATCCCAGGAACACTGACCCTGCCTTCCACCCCAGATCAAACGGTGACAAGGTTTGATCTTTACAAGACACCAGAGAGCCCGAGTCTTGTTTGCTGTTTTTATTGCTCTGTGACCACCTGCCACCTTCTGCTGACATTCAGGCTTGGCTCATCCAATATGAGACTATCAGGTGGTTAAACGATGAATCATGGATTACTAGGCAAATTCATTTCCGCTTCCTGATGGATGAATAGATTTGGGGAACATTTGGGACAGGTATGTGCCCCCAGAACCAGACATGGAGAAAACCTATAAAGAACTCCAAGATGCTGAGTTCTGTCCTAGAAAGGGGCTTGAGCAGTGCCCCTACAGCCAGTGACTTCTTCCTGGGAGCTGCTGGGTCCTCCAGGACGGTAGAACTGTCAATTGGCTCCCACAACATCAGTGGCCAGGTGGGCCACGCTGGGGTTGAGACAGGCCACACTGACCTGTCTTGAAGCATCTCCAGGGTCTTGCTCTGAGCTGGACATGAGCTCTGGGGGTCACATTGCTCTTCCCAGCTGTTTCCAAGGCTTAGCAGAAAGTGAAGGGGTGCTCTCGAAAACCGGCTAAAAAGGAAACAAAGAAAGAGCGAACAGAGCTGCTTGTAGGAGCAGAGACCAGGTCAGAAATCCGTAACCCTCCTCCCCAAGATGCCAATGGCTGCTGACATTGAACTCCTAACTCACTGCCTCATCTTACTTGCTTCCTACGCATTCCTCCCCAG